AGAATGAGCTATAGAACAGGAATACGGAGTCTTGTGAATTTAGGTACTGAGTTCTTATTCAGAAGACTTGCATAGATATTATCCACCAACCAGCAACAAACCACATTTCCAAAAGAGGGGATGAGTATTGCTTTTGTACTTTATTTCTTCTCTATATAAATTCCCTAGTCATGCCACTAGGGAATGTAGGCAAGCCTATTTGAAGTGCCAAAGTCTATCTTTGGAGGTAACTTAGAGATAAAGGCAAAATTATTAAAAGAAAATGATGTGGTCATGCATTTTGTGTTCAGAGGCAGTTTCAACCAAAAAGGTAAACAATATGGAAGTCTTTAATTTTCCTCTCTTCTGCTCTGACAGGCTGCCTTGACCATTCAGGATAGCCACATTGAGATCCACAAGCTGGTTCTCCAGCAACAGGAGATCCTGTCACCCGGGCACCCTCTCCGAGGCAGCCCCCTTCAGGACCAGGACAAGTCCCGCAGCCTGGAGAAGCAGCGGGAGGAGCTGGCCGACATCCACAAGCTGCAGCACCAGTTTCAGCAGGAACAGCGGCGCTGGCACCGCAGGTGCGACCAGCAGCAGCGGGAGCAGGAGGCCAAGGAGAGCTGGCTGCAGGAGCGGGAGCGGGAGTGCCAGTCGCAGGAGGAGCTGCTGCTGCAGAACCAGAGCGAGCTGGACCACCAGCTGCAGGAGTACCAGCAAAACCTGGAGCGGCTGCGGGAGGGCCAGCGCAGGGTGGAGAGGGAGCGGGAGAGGATGCGGGCCCAGCAGAGCCTGCTGTGCCGCTGGAAGCACAGCCGCCAGAGGAGCCTCCCCGCAGCCTTCCCTCCAGGAAGCAAGGAGGTGTGTAAGGCAGCTTCTGGGACAGTAACCAAACATTTGTCTTTTTGGTTCTTGTGTAAAAGCTCACTACAGTTCCTCAGTGTGTAGGTAGCAAAAGCTGGGAACGTCCAGAGACAGTGCATATGCGTCTTGTCTTAAAATATGGGCATTTTAAAGGCCTAGGTCCTATGGGATCATTGGCTCATTGGACTCTGGGATGCCCTTCCCTAAGGAAGGCACACAGAATCATGTTGTCCCCGTAAGGCGAGGGTGGGTTTGTCCTGGAGGCACACTCACTGTGAGCATGCTGTTTTTCCTATGCTTGAAGGACCCTCTTTTCATGACTATTCTTAAAAAGTTCTGTGTAGATGTACCTTTTAATAGATCAATTAGCTGTTAATGTATATTATAGGTACTGAATTTAGCAAGTATGGTAGTACTCTGTTATGCCAAGCTTTTTCTCTCTTCATACCTTTGATATAGTAAGTTCAAAATCCATTTTGCTGATAATAGTTAGCACAAGTTACACTAGTTAATAACTGAGTAGGGTAAAGCCTTTTGGAAGATCCTGTGTTCCTTTTGCATCCTCTCTGACCATGCTCAATTGGTTCTTTTTGTTCCAGGAGTTGATTTTTCTCTGCTGTGTGCCTGTATTTTCTTTAGTGATAGTGCTTAAAGTTGTAAAAGTTGATAAGGTTATGAGAAAAAACGATGCTGCATCTGATTTTCCTTTCAAATTGGCTAAATTACATTCATTGTAAATTCCTCCATGTATATAGATGTCTTTTCAACTTTATTTAGCAAAAGTGAAAATGCTGCTTTCTGTGATTGAAATAAAGTAGAAACACTTTAATGGCAGAGAACGCTACTTGTTATTTTTTAAGATATGTCATACATGCCAAATTGAAGTTTTTGGTACAAGCTCATTAGAGGGGGATGGGAGGAGAGAGTAAATGCTAATATTCTTCACGACCTTATTCTTATTGAAATCTTGATTGCTAGATTCTAGTAGGAGTAAGTACTTTACGAAACTTGCTTAAGTTGCTGGAGAAATAATTGTGCTTTCTCTGTATTTCTTTAACAGATAATGGAACTTAATCGATCTGAGAGTTTATGTCATGAAAATTCATTCTTCATCAATGAAGCTTTAGTACAAATGTCACTTAACACCTTCAACACACCGAATCCATCAGGTATCCATCAGGATGATACTTACACTCCAAATGTATCTAATTCTGATTTGGTAAGGACGAGTGAAAATCATGTACACTTCAAGATGGACGTTTCTCAGCCCCCAGATGTCAACCATGAACTGTGGACAGC